TCATGAAGTTATACCAAAATAAAACATTTCACTTTTGACACATGCATCTTTGCTCTTTATTCATCAGTATTGTCCAGACATTACAATTTCAATGAAACATACAGATGAAACATAGTTCCTCTGTAATATACAACATGACACTACTGATTCCAAAAAATGTCTTCCCCCATACATAGAGCTGTGTAACCTACTCTAACAGAGAAATTAGCTCCACATACATATCCTAAACTCTTTCCTGTCTCTCAAATCTTCAATCACAAATGAAAATCTGTATCTCTACCTAAACATTTTCCCTCCCAACATCTGCTTCGAGATTTAATATTTTTCACTAATTCCATTGAAGCAAATGATAATGGAAGCCAACTTATTACCCTGTTTGGTGTTACAGGTATGAACATACTAGGTAATACATTCTTTCCTCTCTAGCAGTTACACAAATCTATGTGGACATCCTCAAAGAACACAAAACTACATGGCCAGCGGCCGAGATAAACTTTTTTTCAAAAGTCTTGTTTCCGTAGCTGCGCAGTGCGTGGTAGCCAGGCGTATTACAGGAAATGTTGGCAGGTTTCTCACAATACCACCAGCCGCCTGCATGCGGGTCCGAGTAGTTACAAACTGCACTTGTGTTCTTAAAGATGACCGGGTCTACGTTACACGGTTTATTTATAGATCGTCCTCCTATTGTATAGCGTCTTTGGAACGTGATTAGATCAACGGGATTTTCGCTGCTAATTCTTTCTATGATATCTATAGCCTGTCGTGGGAGGACCAGTTGGATTCTAATAGTAACCTCCCCTTCCCACAACAGTCGGAACGTCGCTGTGTACGTGCCGTTCAGGTGATCTGTGATGATGCCAACGGCACCAGACTTGGACTCTTTTGAAAGAATAGACGCTCGGTAAAAATCCCCAATATTAGTTACGGTATTATTGAGTTCATCTTTTGCACAGAAATCAATTTGCAACTTGTCAGAAAATTGTTTTCCAGCTAAACAAAACGTAAGTTTTTCCATGTAAACCTGATAAGAAAATGATTCATTAAGTTTGGGAGTTGTAAATTTAGAATTACTATCTATGGATAGATTTACTGGGATGTCATTAATGCTTTGTAAAGTTGAAGTTTCGTTGGATTGCTTAATTAGAATTGAATATTGGGGTATTGATGTCAGTTCAGGTTGCTTAAACACAGACTTATTAAATTGTGTGTTAGAAGATGAATCATGATTCCATCGGTTTACAAATTGGGGCATCCTTGGTGTTTTCATTATTGGGTTGCTGATCCACGATATTTCCTGTAAAAACAGAAGAAAACGCTTATTAACCACGACAACGGCAGTTACTCAAGCAACTGGATATGATTTTGGAAACGGTTAGACGTTTCAGCTAGTATCATGTTGTCTGTCCTCGGGGATGGGAGCGCCAAAAATCAAGTGACGGAGAGATCTACCCGTAATCTTCCCTGTTGTGGGTGGGGTTGTACATTCTTTCATATATAACCCCTTTAACACCTACTTAATTGTGCAAATCTAGCCTTCAATTGCATTCAACTATGCAGATCTCTCTATTAGCTACCTATACAGCAAAATGATAAAACTACCTTCTTCCTTTCTTGACTTACCTGCTTTAAAAGCTTTTACCTTAAACTAATCTGCAATTTCAGAACAAACGGCTAGGGGGACAAAACTTACATCAGCTATTCCTGACAGGAAAATGTATCTGCCTTAAAAAAAAACCAAGATGATAGCATTTTAGGACAAAACATACAAAAACTGGAAGCTCTGCTAAAGTACCAAGGTCAGCCACCAGGAGGCCAAAACCTGACCTTGAATTTTGTGTTCCTAAGACCTACCAACGAACCAAATATCATCACAATCCATAAAGGCGTTCTGAAGTTATGCCGATTACAAATGAGCGGAAACACAAGCACACAGACAGACAAACACACACACAAGCACGCAGACAGACAAACACACACACAAGCACGCAGACAGACAAACACACACACAAGCACGCAGACAAACAAACACACACACAAGCACGCAGACAGACAAACACACAAACAAGCACGCAGACAAACACACACACACACACACAGACACACACACACACACACACACACAGACACACACAGACACACACACACACATAAACACACACAGATACGCCATAAACAATACCTCAATTTTTCATGGAGTAAAAAAATACAAAATTTTTTAACAAAAATACTATGATATCCAAACATTTTGTCACTATTTTTGTTTTTCTGCTGTTCTATCATTTCCTACGTTACTCAGGGTTTGACCTCTGACCTCTTAAGACCCCTGACAGATTGATATTGTATCACGTTATGCTTTTTTAGTTGCTATTGGTTAGCAAATTCTATTCGCTATTATGAGTTTGCTTTTTTGTCCATGGTAAAAATATTATCTTATCTGCATTTGTTATTTATATTTAATATCGGATTCCCTGGAAGTCATCCTTTTTCGACTGAATAGACTACTGACGAGGATGAATGAATACGGCATGACTTTCAAAGACCATATCGTAATAATAAACTGCAGCTTATGCACGGTGTACCTTGTTGTAATACAGCACTAAGCTCCCAACTACGAATACTAGTAGGGTGCTGAGACGCCGCCATCTCTGTGCACGTGTCATCTTTCCACTCCGTGTGTTTGCCATCTTCCTGATTTGATGAATAGATAATAAATTTATCTCCCGACTGTATCAGACTGTTTTAAGTTATGCCTCTTTTAAAGATTATACTCCGAACCCCTTGTGCCTATAAGAAATATTGTTAAAATGATAAAATAATCTCTTTTTGTTGCGACCTCATGGCAGTAAGATAATTCCAAGTGTAAACATACATACATAAACATGAAAAAGATTTTGAAAAATGTGCATTTAAATGTTTCTACTTACATTTCCGGAGGTGGCTGGTGTCTTTGTGTAGAATGACCTTTGATTGTGGAGCTGAGCTAAGACTACCTCAGCCGTACATGTAGTCCATTCTAAAGCAGAATGTAACATACTGGAGTGAGATCCACTGTTTCATTTGTGACATGTTAGTGTGAGTTCAGGGGATAGGATTAGGGATCGATCATTAATTATAACTGGGTTTTTTTGTTTAAGAGATAGTCAAACGATTTTAATTATATAGTCCTACGCTATTTAGAGTTTTTTTTTTGTTTTAGGATAAATGCATTTTTCAAAGAAATGTTTAAGCAATAAATTACACGTGTTTTTTTTAATGTAAGATCTGGTTTGTCGTAAACTCTAAATTCTAAAAGCATATTTTATCAAAAGTGTTGCTACAACGTCGTTACTAAGAACCACGGGATTGCATACTAATAATCCTAGATCTGTCGCAAATTTCTTTTCATGGTCATTTGTAGACTCGTAATTATACTTCGCAAAAAAAACATAAAATATTGATTTTTAGGCGTGTTTACGGATTTACCTAGCCTCTACCAGGCTTCGGGAGGTGGCCAGAAAGAGTAGAAATTGGCCAAATAGATATATAACATGCCAGGGGAGTTTGTCTGCTGGGAGAGAACATTTTGTCGTACCCGAAGCCTGTGCGGAGTCGCCATTTCTTTGAAGCCCACTAATTGTTACCTGATAGGTGCCAAGTAGCTAAATCACTTTTTTTTTTGCTTTTTGACTGGGCCGTGACGGACAGTGACACGAACGGCTGTGTGAAGTCTCAGAGAGGTCACGAAAATTTCAATCCCATAGCGGTACATTTTCCCTTCAAAAGAAACACAAAACTCCAAGAAAAGAGAACCCTATAATATTCAAGACAATCCCAACCATGTTGCCGATCAAGACATTGGTGGATAAGCAGCATGCGACCCCGTTTTCAGCCCGCATGCTTCCCTGTCGCTAGCGGTGTGGGGTACAATGGCCGTGCCACATCCGGCACACATAAAATTTACCGTGCGGTGCAGCCGGCAATAATCCGTGTTAATTAATATTTTTTCCAAAATCAGTATACCTTACTATAGTAGTTTTTTTTTGCATTCCCGACAATACACAGTTTGTTTAACCATACGGCAAAATGTTCTCTCCCAGCAGACAAAGTTCCCTGGCATGTTATCTATCTATTTTGGCCGATTTCTACTTTTTCCAGCCGCCACGAAGCCTGGTAGAGGCTATGATTTACCATGGTGCCGGGGATAATTATTCACATACATGTAATAACCAAATTCATACATCGAGTTAGATATCTAGGCCTAGCACTTAAAAATGCGATACTCCCCAATAGCGGTTGATACTCACATATACAGATACTGGCAACATGCATCACCTTATCCAGGCAGCCATTATCAGACTTACCTGGTATATCAAATCGTTGGTAAGTCACGTTGTTTATTTAGTGTTTGTACAACCGGATGTAATTCCAGGATACGTGGCAGGTATCATATCTTGTCCTAATGCCTGGTCATTTTCTATAACCACCGATTTAACAACCAATGTTTCACTCTTTGGGTTAAAACGGGTGTCATGCCGCTTATTAAAACACCTGATTGACATTTTGCGCGGCCTACTACTCGAAGATGCCCAGTACCAAATGTTTCCAACATTCAATTTGATAAATTAAATTGAAATTGAAGCTATAAATTTACCGCTATCCTAGATAACCCAACCACACCCACAACGCATATAGAACGCACTATCTCGGCGATCAGACGAAAAACCATCCGCAGGAACTATTACCACCAACATTACGCTACCTATAAAAGCTTAAACACGGATCGCCCGTTCCCGGGAAATTTTATAGATGACGTCATTTGGAGACCCTAAATCTAATGCGAGAGGGCAAAAAAAAACAAGAAGGGTCTTAAAAAAACAAGATGCATAGATATACTAAGAGACGACAAATGTTAGGACACAAATTGAATGAGGTGACACAGTGTAACAAGCAACAAGTCTTTCATTCATCATCAAAACAGCATAAATCAAGCGGAACAGCAGTTGTCGTCCTGTCCTGTTTTCGTGTTACGGGTTTCACGTCAATCTGACGATTAGCGGCACTGTCGTGACTCTTTGGTCATAGTTACGGGAAGCGGAATTTCTTGTTTTTTTTTCTAGGAACAGGCCAAAATCACTGCGCGCGCGGACGTCATCCATAAAATTTACTTGGTGTGGCCTAACCCTAAAACTATATAGGCTTTCCCTGCTAGGCTGCAACAGCCTAAATAACCCCGCGCGCCATCATAAACTTATCGCAACTCCCCGGGACGCCGCGGAACTCCCCGGGACGCCGCGGGACGCACGAGCGGATCACGTGTTAAGAGTTGGTGACCAGCATAAGGTAGCAGCACACGGTATTAATGGGGACCCCCGGGGTCTGTGACGCGAGCATAGAAAGTAGTGCAGAGAGTATTCTTGAAGGCTGGGTAGGAAGCCTGATAAGAGCGTCAGCCAGACGTAAATTGCGCTGTGTGGTGTAGGAATGTATCGGGTTTGAGACTGTATGATTTGAATTGTGAAAGTTTTGCAGTTCGTGTATAAATGCGCCGTATTACGAAACTGGCTTTCCGGGTGAGTCGGCTGCAGTTCAGGTCACGTCCGTAGAGGGCGATTTCAAAGTGTACGTTACGAGCAGATACGCCGACAGGATTTTTTGGTTTCTAGATATTTTATAGTTTGTACCTTCTTCTCAAACAGATTCGATTTTCGTATTTGCAAAGTGCACCCTACTATAATTTTTACCGCGTCGATGTGAGTCATCTTGGGATCCTTAACTATAGAAATCCCTACAGGGCGAAAACTGTGTTCTGCTACCGTAAACAAACAGCGCGGCACATGTTTTGGTCGGGCGCCATGTTGAAAAGGTCGATGTCTCTAGCTAGACGGAGATTTCGCGATAAACCTGGTTGGTATACGAACATTATAGACTGGTGTTTTCATACCTAGCCTCGCCTCGCATGAGAAGGCGTAGAATCGCCAGACGACAAGCTTTGGCAAAGCTACCGACATGCATAGACAGCCTCGCCTCGTCCGAGAAGGCGTAGTATCGTGTCGACAACAAGCCTTGACAAAGTTACCGACATTTTTCGCCATGTTTGGAACCATGTTTCTACGCGAAGGAATACACTATTTAGAAAAGCTGGCGTGGACCCGGAGCTTCCCTATGGCTGATCGGGTGAGTGAAGACGTCCATTTGAACATATACAGATATTAGAGTTCCCCGATCTCATACCTTCGCCAAATGACTGACAGATTATAGATTAGATTATTCCCCCCTGATTTAAGAAATAGGAAACTAATTTTCATGAATTATATCATTTTATCATAATCTCAATCAAAAGACAGTCTTATATAAACAAACAAGGCATTCTAGTATTTCCTAATAAATTATGCAAATGAGGTCCTGATTTGAATAAATTATGTTTAATGATGTTCACCTCAACTTAACTTTCAAATACCATAAGTATGAAATTACAGGCAGTTATCATTACATAATTATAAAATTTTCTCATTAATTATGCAAATTAAGTCATAATTAACATAATCAATATCTGCCTGTGTTTCTCTCGTTGTCAATTACCAATGTCACAAGCTTCAATTGTCTTATTATGGAATGCAGCTGATTTATAGAATTTCCCCATAAATTATGCAAATTACATCCATATTTGCATAATTGTCACATAATTATATTAAGCATCACGTAAGTTACCTACATACCAAAAATCACGATGATCCGTCAACCGGTTATTGAGTTATCCTCTTTTGAATATTTTCAAGAATATATCCCTGCAGTTCCAGAGCAAGCCACTAGGGGGCCCAAACTCACGTCACTTCTTCCCCAGCACAAGAGTTACCTACCACCCAAATTTCATCACCATAACATGTCTAGATCATGAGATATCAAAACCGGAAGTTCAGCTGCAGTACCATAACAAGCCGCTAGGGGGTCCAAAATCTAATCATTTTGAGGTCTCATCAAGACCTACCCACCTACCAAGTATCAAGACAATCCATCAAGGCCTTCTCAAGTTATCGTGTTGACAGACAGACAGACAGACAGACACACACACACACACACACACACACACATACACGAACGCCTCTGAAAACATAACCTTCTTGGCGAAGGTAATTAACGCTGCTGTTAACATAACCTGCTGTTAACATAACCTGAAGGTTATGTTTTCAGTAGCGTTTGTCCGTTTGTCCGTTTGTGAACAACATAACTCAAAAAGCTTAATAGGCATTGTCATGAAACTTGGTCGGTGGGTAGGTCTTGATGAAACCTAGAAATGTTTAGATTCTGGGCCCCCTGGCGGCTTTTGTTACCTTTTCCAAGAATGTTATGTTTTCAGTAGCGTTAGTCCGTTTGTCCGTTTGTAAACAGCATAACTCAAGAAGCTTAATATGCATCGTCATGAAACTTAGTAGGTGGGTAGGTATTGATGAGACCTAGAAATGATAACATTCTGGGCCCCGTGGCGGCTTTTATTGGATTAGGTTTGGACCCCCTAGCACCTTGTTCTGGAACTGCAGAATCGTTTCTTGAAAAATCTCCGAAAGTAGAAAACTTAAGAACCGGCTGACGGATTGTCATGATTTTTGGTATGTAGGTAGCTGAAGTGATGCTTGACATGAGCAGATGACAATTATGCAAATCAGAAGCTAATTTGCATAATTAATGAGGACATTCTATAAATCTGCTTCGTTCAATAATAGGATTATGAAACACTCGTGACATTTAATTTTGAACAAG